AAGATGTAATTTTTAAAAATTGTAAGAGTTTTCAAAGGTTTGCAAGACAATCAGAAGGTTTTTTTAGGTCTTACAAGGTTTTTAGAGGTTGAACAAGTTTTTACAAGACATGATAAGGGTTTCACAATGTTTTTATAATATTTTACAAGGTTTTTTGATGATTTTGATAAGAAATTGATTTACAAGGTTTTTAATGGTTATAAAAAATTTTAAAATACAGTTTTATAACTTGTTTTATATAGTAACATACCTGTAAAGTTAGAATATGACATACCTTTTGTTGGAGTATAAGGTATCAACATAATCATATTCGTTAAGATTAATATGTTTTGCAGCCGCTATTGCATGAGCACACGGGATTTTCGTGATATTGAACACACAACACGTGCAGTCTCTTGTTTCCAAATTCACAACATGAACCAACGTACCTCCTTTCACTTCAAACACGTGTTGATTCACTTGTGACACTTCAAGCCAGCGTGCAGTAGAATCATACAGTGTCTTTACTTGCTTCATCACATTCACAGTAACTGAATGCCTATTACGAGTACCCTTCTCATGTCGTTCATTGAACCATCTGGTAAGAGTAGACCTAATTGTATCAAACAAACAGACAATTGGATACTCACGGCTTTCTTTCAACAGAGAATTCAAAGACTCAGCTAAGTTTGATGTCATAATGTTGTATCGATTGGCAGGTGCACAAGCACGTGACCATTTTTTGACATCCAAATCCCACAGATACTGTGCCATCTTGTTGTCAGCAAGAGACAGTTCATGGAACAACTGTTCAAAATCAAACCTTGTGTAAGCATAAGCTGCATCTTTCATAACTGGAATAAGCGTTGAGGATGACTTAAACCCAGTCTCAAGGTTTTTCTCCAAATGAAAAATGCAGATCCCATGATGAGCAAGTGGATAATTAACAATAAGAGCATTGGCAATTGATGATGCACGATCTGACACAAAAACTAAATCAGGTTCATCCGGGATAATTTTCTTCAAACACTTCATAAACCAGTCCCACGAAGCATCATTTTCTGAATCAACTACGCCAAATGCAATAGGATACAAATGAAAGTCACCATCTTGTGCTGAGGCACCAAGCAAAGTCCCTTTAAAATTTGATTTCAAATGAGCACCGTCAATACAAATCACTTTTCTCATCAACTTAAACCCTCTAATTGACGGACCAAAGGCAAGAAATGCGTACTTAAATTTGTTGTCAGGATCGACCTCAATGAAGGTTGCAGAACCAGGATTCTTCTCATTTACCATGTACATCCACATTGGCAAGAACTCATAACCATCTTCAGGTGTACCCCTAGCAACATCGATTGCATGATCTTTAGCTCTCCACGCTTTTGAATAAGAAACTCCAATCCCATTGTCGTGTCTGAATTTTTCTATCAGTTGTTTAGGTTTAAGCGCAAGCTTCTCTCCACGAAAATGATTACTTACCATTTCTCCTAATGTCCTAGCAGTTGCTTGGCGATGATTAACCTTCCTTAGCGAAGAATCACAACAGTGCTCACTAACATACTTTTTAATAATAAAACTATCTGATGCCTTAACCCTAGTTGCACGTAACCTCCAACTACATTTTTCATCAATGCAACGAAGAGTATACCGTGTTGAGTCTGATTTCTTAGTCCGGAACTCGAAGTTATTCTCCATTGCAAATAACTGCATCTGCCTTCCCATTTCCTTTTTGTCCTTGAACAACTTTCCACAATACAAAGTATTTGAAGATGCAGAAATAGTAGAACCACCTACAGGAGCTGAACCTTCAGATATATTAGAGAAGGATTCCGTTTCAGTTCTAACCCTCTCCGGGATGGTTGAGTCAAATCCCATCTGCAAAAGCAAAAAAAATTTGGATTTGAATTGTTTTACAAGGTATTTTAAAAGGATTTACAAGTTATTTTAAAAGGTGTACTAAAAAGGGTTTTTAAAAGGGTTTTACAAGGTATTTTAAAAAGATTTTTTACTGATTTTCAAAGAATTTGTAAGGGAATTGAAAATACCTCATTCATGACATGACATGCAGGAGCTGAAACAAAAGTTATAGGAGCAGGGTTTGCAGAATACATTTGTACCTGTAATATAATTTTTGCAAATTTACAAGTTATTTTGAATCTTCGTTAACTTATTTACAAGTTATTTTAATGATTTCTTTACTAATTTACAAGGTTTCTTTACTGTTTTACCTCATTCATGACTTGATATGTAGAATAAGGATCTGTATTGCTCTCACTACTAATTGAGATGTTGTTTGTCCCCATCATTGGATTACTGCTTGTTTTCCCCTGTAAAGATAATTAAAACTGTTTACAAATTTGTTAAACAAGTTTACAAAATTGAATGTTGGTAAAATACCTTCTCAACAGTTACACATAGCTGAATACCGCCTCTGAATTCCGCAAGCTTTTTCATAAATGCTTGCACTTGCCTATCATTTCTAATATACATAGGAGGCATGTCTTTTGTAGAGGGTAATGAATAACTGAGTTTCACTATATTAATACCGACATCAATTCCAAAATCTTCTATAACAACAGCACACAAATCAGTGAAACACGTATCCTCATTGATAAAAGTAAGAGACCCTCCTCTTTCAACATCAAATTTAAAATCCCAACAATTGTTATTTTTCAGTTTCCAAACACCAGATATGCAATTCAACTCAATCATTACGACCTGATAAAAAAGATAATGTATTATAATGTTAAACATATGTATCTTTATGATAGTTCACAAGGTATTTATAAAGTTCTTCATGGTTTTACAATATTTTTTAAAGGTTTACAATCTTCACAAAAAACACGGTAAATCAAAATTATTTCACTAATAGTGTACAATAGTTACTGAAGAACATAAATACAGTGAGAAGATGAAGAAGAAATTTTTACAATGGTTTTAGAAAGTTTTTAAAGGTAACACGAATTATAATTTTCAAGCAAGACAAATTCGAGAAAATAGATAAACACAGAATCGAAGCTCTTAATTAATCAATTCAGATTAGAAGACGAAATCGATGAACTTTTGGATCTAAACGGTTCAGATTTCAGAAGCGATTCGAACCTAATTGATGCAGATTGGGATGAGTCACAGATTTTTGATTACAGAATCGATTGATCCTCGTCGATTGAACTCGATTGAACTCGATTGAACTCGATTGAACTCGACGGATCTAAGATGAAGATATCGACGGATCTAAGATCTCATCACCTTTTGTGAAGGTGACGAGAGACGCAGAGATTTTTGTTCGTCGTTCCCCAGTTTTCTCTTCTTCATTAAGGGTAAAATAGTCAATTTCAGGAAAGCTATTAGGGAGGGGGTATTTTTGAAAATGGGTATTAAAAAGGGGGCATTTTTGTGAGTCCCCCTTTACTAATTAGGATTTTCCAACTAATGTATGTTTTATATAATATTAATCCAATTATACCTTTATTTCTGTATAATAAAATAAAAAATGCCTCCCTATTTTTGATTTTTACGTTGTTTTATATTTGATTCCAACTTATTTGATTTTTTCTTATCTCAACCTAAACTATAGATAACAAGTATAGGAAACATAAAAAGAACATCAATCGTGGAAAGGAGCATCTCTGTTACAATCAAATAAGAGACAAAACAGTATAACCTCAACGATGGTCATGCACAACAAATTCGAGCCGTTGAGTGTCTGTAAGTCTGTAACTAGTGGTTCTAAATAAGACATCGTCCAACGATTGTGGGAACTGTTTCTAAGGTTTCTAGAATGATAAATGTTCTACGTATGTCTTAATTGATAAATCGTTGTATGTAGTTTTGTGTGACTAAAAAATATAATCTTTTTCCTCATTATATTATTATATATGTTTTCTTAATATATCAATGATGGAAGGAATTGAATGCGTCATTAATATTCCATCATTCATCCCATCTTTGAATCTAAACAACCACCAAAATCTACATGGAGGAAAGTATAATGTAAAAACATTAATCTACCTTAGAAATGTTGGAGATACAATCCAAGTCCCACATCGGAAGTTTGATGGGACAATCAATAATATATAAAGGGTTAGGGCCAATCCACTAATTGCCAATTGGTTTTTAGTTGGAAGCCCAGAATTAGCCCAAATTTAACAAAAAATGGTTGAATATAATT